ATCCACGCACCTCAGCCTCCCAAAGGCACGGGATTACAGGCTGAGCCACCGAGCCCAGCTATACCATAATGTTTTAAATGCTTAGAAGAACATATCTGTGTATTATTTATGCACTTAATATTAATATTTAAACATATTGAATGAGATTTATAGAGATGGTGGCTCAGCCTGTAATCCAAGCACTTTGGGAGGCGGAGGCAAGTGGATTGCCTGAGTCCGCGGGTTCGAGACCAGCCTGGGCACTTGGTGAGACTTCATCTCTACAATAAAATAAAATTTAAAAATAGCCAGGCATAGTTGCACACGCCTGAAGTTCCAGCTACCTGGAAGGCTGAAGCGGAAGGATCACCGGAGCCCAGCAGGTCGACGCTGGGTTGGCCGTGAGCATGTGTGCCACTGCACTCCAGCCTGGGCGAAGGAGTGAGACTCCAACTCAAAAAATAAATAAAATATAGAGATAAACATCTGGTAAACAATAGGCCTTCATGAACTGTATACTCCTCTTTGTGGCAGTTAATTTAATGTGTCAACATGACTAGGCTAAGGGATGCTCAACTAACTGGTAAGGCATTATTTCTAGATATGTCTGTGAAAGCATTATTTCTAGGTTTGTCTGTGAGGGTGTTGCTGGAAGAGGCTGGTGTTTGAATCAGTAGAGTGAGTAAGGCTCTCTCACCAATTTGGACAGACATCATCCAATCCACTGAGGGCCCAAACAATAAAAATGCAGAAGAGCAAATTCATTCTCTCTCTTCTTGTGCTGGGACATCATCGCCTCCTGCCTTCTGACATCAGAGCTCCTGGTCCTCTGGCCTTCAGATTCCAGGACTTATACCGGCACCCTAACTCAAACCCTTTCCATTTCTTAGGCCTTCAGCCTCAAATTGAATTACACCACTAAACTTCCTTGTTCTCCAATTTGCAGAGATTATGGGATTTAATTAACTTCTATAATCATGTGAGCCAATTTTGTATAATTAATCTTTTTATATGTTTATATATATTCTACTTGTTGTTTTTGACTACACACTCTCCCTCCACCAAAAGCAATTCATACCTTGGGTTCAAAACTGATCCCAGCAATGTGTCCCATGAAAATGAAGTGGCGCGTGGCACGGGGACAGTGGTGATTTACAGGGTAAAAAGGGACAGAAAGCAAAGGAAAATGTCCAGCATGGGCAGAAATGTCACCAAACCGATAAAATGAACAAATAAGATCAGGGAAAGTCTGAAGGTAAAGAAATACGAAGAAACACTTGATAGAAAAAAGAGAACAATGATACCATAACTGTCCTCTTTTTGAGCTTCTAGTATGTTCCTGTTCATATAAAATATATTACTTAGTCCTCAAAGCAACGGTATTATTATGCCCATTTTACAAGATGCACACTGAGGTTCAGAGAGGTGGAGAGAATCGTCCAAGGCCCTGCTGCTGATGGTGAACGCAAGAGCCAGCATTCAAATGCAAGGCGGCTCTTTCCGCTATGCTTCAACGGACGAGCAAGTAAAATTTAAAAAGCAAGAAAAAAAACACGTAATAGTATCCAAATCAATACAAACACACAAAAGAGCAAAAAGAAGAAGAAAAGAAAACCCCTGCAGAAGGTATGCGCGTAAACTGAGGGCCGGGTGTTAACTCGTTGACTAGAGAAGGGTGGTGGGTGGACGGAAGCGGTCAGGTCCAAGGCTACTGCGCATCGGGTTCTCAGAGAACACCCAGAACCGCAACCCACGTAGGGCCGATGGAGAGGATCAAACCTCCCACTGCCTAGAAAGGCTCCAGCGCGGCGAGGAGGCGGGGCCAGCGACCGCTTCCGGTTCCGGGCGCAAAAAAGGCCCCCACGTGTTCCGATCCGCTAGGCCCAGCGCGGCTCGGATCCGGCGGTGCTGTTTCGGCCGGGAGTGGGTGGGGGAGAAGCTGGGGCAGGGGAGGAGCCGCTGGAGCTGTCGGAGCCGTGAGTGCTGGGGGACTGGGCCGGGCCGGGCCGGATCGGTTCGGACAGAGCCGGGCAGGGCGGGGAGGAGGGGGAGGGACCGGAGACCCCGCCCCCCAGAGCCTGGGGAAATCGCTCTGTCCTGGGGAAGGGGTGGCGGCGGTGTCTTGAGGGGGCCGAGACGTGTGGCTTCGGTGTTTGCTGGTAGCCAAGCCAGCACCTACAGGGATGCGGATGGCTCTCCGGGCTTCCTTCTCTTGCTAGCCACCGCCCTCCGCCCCTCTTGGGGCCTGCAGAAACGCAATTAGTCAGTACCTCGTACCTCCTATTGATTCCGCGCCAATCGGCCCCCGGAACTGAGGGTTAGAGAAGTGGCCGAGGCTCCTTTATTTCCCGCAACCTTTCCTCACCCATCTCTGAGATTGCTCAGGAATCCTCCCGCAGGCTCTCTATCCTGCGAGCCCCATCTCCTTCCACTACCGACCGCCCCCCAACACACGCAGATATACTCGCCCGTGATTTTATCACCTGTGATCATACCAGGCCTTGGAGACCATCTGTCCTGACGCTTCTCAGCTGGCCCTGTAGCAGCCCCCGAGCTTCCCCTCTAGCCAGTAGCTGCTGTCTCCACTTAAAACTTTCCAACCCCCACCCCTCAACAGCCGGTTTTGGCACCTCTTCTCAACACCACCATCACCCTCAGCAGGAGTGTACCTGCTTCTTTTCTGTCTTGACTAAAAGTTTGTTCGTTTGTATGTCATGGATATGCAGTGTTCTCTCAGAAAGGTGTCAGCTCAGTTTTTATTTTTCTGAGCAATGGATGTTCTCATCTCGCTTCGATAACCCTGTCTGCATTGGAATCTGTACCGGCCTCCCAAAGGGGAGACTGTTAGGCCCAGCCCTTCTTGTTGAACCACCTTGGTCCTAGGGATCTTTGCTACATCCAGGCACTCAGCTTAGAGGCTAGACTCAGAACTATTGCTTTTGCTCTGTGCATGCTCTGCAGGTGACACCCAGGGCAGCTACACTCAGAAGCCACAAGGATGCCAAAGTCCCTCGTCCCTCACAACTTTTCTTCCAAGCTGCCCCATGGGCGTAGGTCCAGAAAGCTACTTCAAAAAGGTTGTGGGATAGCCATGGGAGACTTGGTGGTGGGAAGTGTGTGAACATGGAGTAGTAAGGGTTTGTGGCCGTTTGTCTTGAATAACTTTCTGCTATTACTGTCTAGCAGAAGAGAGTGGGCAGGGTTGGAGGGAGGACAGGAATTTTCCCTCTAGGACCTAACAACTGGGATTCACAGTTTTCCCCCTTCCCCAGCTTTACTCCTTTTGTACTCTACGTACTATACTCTGTTGCAGTAGAGAATCATTTCAAGGACGCAGAATGGTTTATTGCAATGTAAAAGACTCGGGTATTACAGATTATAAAGATGAGGTTTACAGGTTTAAAACATTTTTCCTCAGTTAATTTGGCACAGAGATAGAACATGGAACAGTTCTAAGATTTCCTGCTTTTGCTGTCCTCTTACCTTACCAGCAAAACCCTTCTTTACTTTGGCCAACACTGGAAAAGTTGGCTCTTTTCTGTGTGAGTCTCAGATTTACTTTCTTTGCATTAGGGAGTAGTTCTGAAACTTATCATCTTAAGTACCTGAGGAGCTTGTTAAACACAATACTGGGACCCAACCCTAAGAGTTTCAGATAATCCGTCTGGGCTGTGACTTGAGAATTTATATTTTTAACAAGTCTCAGGTGCTGGTACCACCAATCAGGGTTCCTCACTTTGAGAACTGCCTTTTGTCAAACTATAGGCAAATGTGACATACACATTACAGTGGGTTGGGGATTAGAAGACTTGTGTTTGTGTACTTCTGTGCTGGAAACCAGTAATGTGATCTTTTGTGGGTAATTTAACCCACTTAGATCTGAGCACTTTTATTTGTAAAATTCAACTAAAAAAAAAAACCAATGCTGTATTATTTTGTGCCAGATTTAAGATGAGATATTGATGAGTTTTTTCCCATTTAATTTTCTAGAGAGGGGTTTCCATTTTGATCTTACAGATTACACCCATATTCCAGGTTTCTGCTGTGAATTCTAGTGTTGTTAAAGTTCTGCTATTTCGCCCGGCTCGGTGGCTCAGCCTGTAATCCCGTGCCTTTGGGAGGCTGAGGTGAGTGGATTGCCTGAGTCCGCGGGTTTGAGACCCGCCTGGGCAGGCGAGACCTCATCTCTACAATAAATCAAAAAAATTAGCCGGGCGTGGTAGCGCGTGCCTGTAGTTCCAGCTACTTGGAAGGCTGAGGCGGAAGGATCGCCGGAAACCAGCAGGTCGAGGCTGCATGGCCGGGAGCGGCCACTGCACTCTAGTCTGGGCGACAGAGTGAGACTCCAACTCAAAAAAAAAAAAAAGTTCTGCTATTTCTACTTAACTACTTGCTAAATTTCTCAAGGTCAGAGCCTATGCTTTTTTCATCTTTCTCTGCCTATCACCTTGAATAGTGAGGGACACAATTGATGCTCAGTATTTGTAGGTTGAATGAACTGTATCCTCTGCCCTCCTCCCCTTTGAAGTTTTTCTCCACTGTTCTTATGCTACAAAATAAAGCAGGATATGACTTGTGCCACCTGATTTCCCCAAGAGATTGGAATAAATACTAATGCCAGATTCCTACAGCTATCCTTATGAATGGTTTTTTACTCAGAAGCCCTGGCATCCACTGATTTCTGAATTTTTAGTGCTTCTGTGTCCAAGTTTGGGGAAGAGAAATCATTTAATTAAATGTAGCACACACATATTAAGCACCTTTTCTACCAAGTTTTTGACAAAGTGGTAGGCACTGGGAGTATAAAAATGAGTAGGGGGTTCTATGCACTTGAGGGCAGGGCTCACAGTGGGGAGACAGACACTAAAACATGCCCATAGCAAGAATGACTTCTGGGATTACTTCACCTTTGGCTCATGATTTAGTCTTCAGTAGAAACCTCGTACTCCTCAGATTCCTCTTCACAAATTTGCTCTCGTTCAATAGGCAGGGGTCCCATCTTTTGTCATTTCATCACATGCAAGGGAGCTTTGGGGAAAACTAGAAGGAAGTCATCTAGACATAACAGTGTATGTTAATTACAAAGCTAAAAGTAGAGTTAATGACTTTTAATTTGACTACTGTTAAGAATTAACCATATCAACACCTCAGTTCAGGCTCTTTATAATATATGTTACCTTGTTATTTCTTTTTAAGTGATGGTTCCCTTAACTGGCATTGACCATGTTCATTATAGGAATTGAATACATCTAGGTTAACTCTGGCTGCCAGATGAGAGCCTTTGCTCTCATTCAGGAGAGGTGTCAGGTTTAATGTCCCCTCTTCCTACTTCAGATTAGTTTGTGATGCTCTGCTTTAAGCAGAGGCATATAGATTGACCTGCTTTATTTATACTGATAACTGCTCCTAGGAATAGTCCTTAGGGTTAAAAAACCTAGTGTTGTGTTGGAGGTTAACCATTATCACTGTGATGACCAGGTATGTAATTCTGACCTCTTAAAATCTGTATTTGGCCTCTAGCTCTTCTCAACCCTGAGGAAGTCCCTCTCTACATGCTAGGCTTATACAGTAAGCCCAAATACTCAACAAAGAAGCCATATATCTAGATCCTCTCAAAGCCCCTCATCACCATCAATAAGATGGTCCAGCTCTGTCTCTTCAGGTAAAGAAGCATCCCAGTTTTCAAGATGAGTTGATGTGACTTGTTTAAGATGACACATCTTTAAGATGTAGCACAGGGGGCAAAATACAGGTCATCTGCTCCGAAGGCAGAGCTATCTACTGTCTAACATACCTCCTAGTCTTGCTGTGTATAACTACAGAAACCTTTTAGAATAAAGTGAATTGTCATGATTTTTTTCCATTTTTGTGTTCACAGTTACTCTCAATGACATATTTACACCCACCTTATACCTTGATGCTAGCCACAAATTCTACAGCATTCAAGGCAGAAGATACTTTTGTCTTAGCCTCTGACTTCCCTGTATTACCCGCGACTTATGTGGCCTCTCTCTTTTCATTGCTTTTGTCCTGTCATTCCTTTCTGCATACCTTATTCAGTTTCTTCAGAACCTTTTGTAATAGACTTCAAGCTCCCCCCCCTTGCTACTCAAATATTACTTTTATGAAGGAAAAAAAAACTTAGGTGGCAAAAATATTTTAATTAAATCATTTTCAAGCATGGTTGAAGCATGCTGATCATCATGTTAGAAGGCCAAAAGTCAGGGGATGACTTTTGAAATGAAAGCATTCCCTTTCATTTCTTTTGCCATCCAGGTTAAGTTTTTCTAGGACTTTTTGGGTACACTGACTGGGTTTGCCTCAAATTGCCTTCTGCCAGTTACAGGGAGGAGAGAGGACTTGAATATTGGTAAGTAGAAGCATTGCTGATATGGTATTTGTTAGGAAAACCTCTCTTTAAGGTTCCATCCCATCTGTGTTCTAATACTTTTCATTTAATCTTACTTTATAAGAACAAAGCAAGGCCTGTGCTTTTGTTTGTTTGTTTTTTATTGTTTTAGCACTTTACTTTTGATATAGCAGTAAATAGGTCAAGATTTTCCTTATACATTCTAATTTTTTTTTTAATTATGATGAAATAAAGGACTGCTTGCTTATGATTGAAATCTTCTTCCCAAAAGGATGTGAAACAGCTAGTTGGGAAAAGAATAAAATATATTGAGCATCTACCATGTGCCAGACACTATGCTTAGGAATTTCTGTAGGTTACTTCATTTGCTCTTCAGAACAACCATGTCAGGTGGGTAGTAGTAGCCATCTATTGAGGATGAGACTTAGGCTTTGGGAATTAATGTCACATGGCTAATAAATGAGGGCAGGGCTTCAAACCCAGGGCTCCAAACTATTACATGGAAAGAATTGATAAATGTTTGTTTATAGGACAATTAAAATAATAAGAGAGAGAATCTTTCCAGTGGAAGGATCATTCTGGGACAATCTTCCATTTTAAAGAACAACTGCAGTATTGGAAAAACAGTTAACAGTAATTAGTTGATTTCTGTTCTAGAACAGTGAGAGGAACTGTTGAAAAGCCCTAGTTACCCCAGCAAGCAGTTGTATTCAGATTTCCAGATTGTGTGCCTACATTAAAGTAAAAGATAAGAATGAGGACTGGAAGGGTTATACATTTCTGCTAAGTATAATAATTTGAATCTAATAACTATTTTCTTCTGAAGATTGATTGCCAGTAAATAGACCATCATCTCTCCTTTAGGTAGGCAATGTATAACTACAAACCTTGTCATTTAGGGTCCGGAAAGATCACCGCAGCTAGTAGCATTTTAAGGTAGAGAACTAGGTATTTATTTATTATCTGTGGTTTTCTGTTCTTGTCAAGAGAGTTGAGTTTGGGCCTTCACTGGCATATGACATCTTAGATAAGGGGCAGAAACAGCTGAGCTGAGGATTGAGAAAGATCTTGCCTTCTCCGCTACTCCTCCCCAATCCTGCCCCAAGCATCCTAGAGACAGACACACACTCAAGAGACTAGGTCATGGGGCCTACCATGGGAGGCTTGTGAAGCATCTCTGCAGCCAGTGTTTTAGTATCTTCTGGAAGCAAGTCTCGTACATTTCCCGACCTGGTTTCATATTCTCTCTATAGTGTTTTGTTGTTCATTTTTTGTCTCGCTGTGGAATCCTTCCAAGGATTCCACAATGTCTATTGAAGGAAGGCGTTAGAATAGCAAGATCAGCAGACTGCAAGGCAGACTTGTAGTATAGCATATCCCTTGAATTATAGAATAAAAACAGAACATCCATGTCCTGTCTCTAATATTAATACTTGACGTTTATGCAGCACGTTTTAGTTTATAGAGCTCTCACATTTCAGATAATTTAGTAAGTTAGGAGAGTGGTTATCTGCAGAGGTCTTTACCCTTTAGCAAGGGTTCTTGTGTATGTTGTGATCTCACAAAACCCTTAAGGTAAATTTAGTTACTTCCGGGGTCTGAGACTGGAGTATACATTCTTGTGTATCTGGTTTGGTCCCCTGCACAGCACTCCTGTCCCTCCTGTTCCTTCCCATCTCTTACACCACCAAGGACTCCTGTCCCTCCTTCATTCCCACTGTTGCTGATCTCTTTTCCTTAATCTTATCTAGGCTGCCAAAATAAATGCAAACTAAGGAACAGAAATCTCAATTTGTAGGCTGGGTGGTGGCTCAGGCCTGTAATCCTGGCTCTTTGGGAGGCCAAGGTAGGAGGAATGCTTCAGTCCAGTAGTTCAAAACCAGTCAGGGCAACACAGTGAAGCCCCATCTCTACAAAAAAAAAAAGAAAGAAAGAAAGAAAAGAAATCTCAATTTGTGCTTTCTGGAGGGCATTTTAAAACAGCAGGTTTTATGTGGCACTTTTCTTTTTTCTTTGGAGAGCAAAGCCCTCTAAGCAGGAACTATTCTGTCAATGCATATATTATAGGGTCTATAGACTGGAATCTCTTATAACTAGTACTGCATGAAAACTGTAAGGTTCCTTGTTTACTTCGGTAGACATTGACCTTTAAGATAACGGAGATCCTAGCCAGGTACAGTGGCTCACACTTGTAATTCAGGTACTTTGGAAGGCCGAGGCCAAAGGGTTGCCTGAGCTCAGGGGTTTGAGACCAGCGTCAGCAGCTTGTTGAGACCTAATTGCTACAATAAATAAAAATTAGCTGAGTGTGGTAACACATGCATGTAGTTCCAACTACTTGGAAGACTGAGGTGGAAGGATTGCCTGAGCCCAGCAGGTTGAGGCAGCAGTGGCCATGAGCATGCCACTGCACTCCAGCCTGGGTGACAGATTGAGACTCCAACTCAAAAAATAAGAAAGATAACAGATCCTTTTATTAAACCAAAGATCCTATGTGTTAATTCTGTATTCTCTCTCCTGCTTTGCAGGAGTAGGAGTTGGGGAGGTTGAAGCTTTGTTGGAATGAATAATCAGAATTTAGTTGCATTAAATGATTTAATGTCTTCTGCTTACTAAAGTTGATTCAGACCAGGCGCGGTGGTTCAAGTCTGTGATCCCAGCACTTTGGGAGGCCAAAGCAAGAGGATTGCCTGAGCTCGGGAGTTCGAGACCAGCCTGGGCAACTAGGGGAGACCTCGTCTCTACAATAAATCACAAAAACTAGCCAGGCATGGTAGCACATGCCTGTAGTTCCAGCTACTTGGAAGGTTGAGGCGAAAGGATCACCTGAGCCCAGCAGGTCGAATCTGCGATGGCCATGAGTGTGCCACTGCCCTCTAGCCTGGGCAACAGAGACTCCAACTCTTAAAAAAAAAAATGAATAAAGTTGATTCAAATTCTCAAAGAAAAATGAATTTTTTCAAATGCCCAGTTTTTGTGACTTACATTTGGATTATCCCCAGGGGATCCTAAAGATATACTCTGATAAATTGTAGTTCCGTTACTTTGAGAACCACCAAAAGTATTCTGTTTGACTCCCAATCCAAACAATGAATGTTTTTCCCTATCTATTCGTTTATCCAGCATGTAATTTACTGGATAAATGAACGAACATGAACTAATATGACATGGTATCTATCCTTTCATAAGCAGACTTTTTAAAAATGTAGTAAGTGTTCTCTGCATTCATCAAATAAGAAGTGAATAACTGTTGTGTGCCAGGCCTCGAGGTGGATGATACATGTCCATGTCTCTGCCCTTGGAGCTTTACAGTTCAGTGAGTTCAACAGCAAGATGAACAACTTTTATGATACAAAAGAGATGCATATGCTGTGATATGGGGAAGTTCGGATTCCTATGGACACATCCATCATCTAGGAAGTTATCCTGGGAAGACAGATCTGAAGGATGAGTAGAGGGGAGAAGGAGTGGAAAAGGGTATTTCAGATGGAATGAACAACATCAGGAAGGCCCTGTGAGAGCCTAGAAGAAGAGGAAGACAGAACAGTAATTCAAGCAGTGGCTTTCAACAGGAATAGCAATCATGGGAGAAAAGAGGTAGGCAAAGCCAGGTCTTGAAGAGCTTTGGGTATCAAGTTTTAAGGAGATTAAATTTCATTCTAAGGTCTATGTGAAGCCACTGGCAGATTTTGTAGGTAGGAAGTTCACCTCTCAGACCTACTCGAAGTATCACAGGTGAGACTAACGTGGATGGGCCTCCTGCCCATTATTAAATGCCTGCACCTACCTGCCCATGCTGTCCCTCCCTTTTTGTCCCAATATCAGTTCCAGAAAGAGAAGTAAAAGTGGGAAGAGTAAATATAAACTGACTTCACCATGGCCCAAGGAGATTACAAACCAAAATAAGGTTTCTAGGGTTTAGTGTTTTATTATTATTATCATTATTATTATTTTGCATGTATGTGTGTGTTGAGATGAGGTCTCACTATTTTGTCCAGCCTGGTCTCCAACTCCTGGCCTCAAGCAATCCTCCCACCTCAGCCTCCCAAAATGCTAGGATTACAGGCATGTGCCACCATGCCTGGTTGGTTTAGGGTTTTAATACCAGTACTCCAACTAGGAGATAGGATTTGGGAGCTGATGGGGCACGGAGATTATGGAACTGAGCAACCTGCAAACCTGAGGCCTTGAATAGCTATCTCTTCCATGAAGTCTGCCTACTGGCCCAGGAAAGGTATAAGGAAGTAGGCTAGACTCCCCATAGCCTTGTAGGACAAAAATCACTTGAGGGCATATTGACCATAAACTCATTTGATAGATTATAATAGCTGTTTAAAGTGGGTTGATAACCTTGAAGGTGGATGTGAGGCAATTGTAATACAGTACAAAAAGACTGAGAAAAGAAGGATGTGTGTGGTCGCTGGCTGGAGGGGGACAAAACCAAGAAGGCTAGCTGTGAAAGTTGAACTAAGTCATTCATTCAACATGCCAGTACCTGTTTTGGGGCTGAAAATATTATCTTTTCTTTTTTTAAAGGTCCTATTAATAACTTTTTGTGAGTCAACCAGGGGAGTAGCAGTGAAGATGAAGAGATGGATGGGTTTGGAGGACACTTTTTAGAAGGTGGAATTAACAAGAGTTGGTGAACAAAAAAAAATAGTAGAAGCATAATGGAGGAAAAGTTGGTTCTTCTTATTACAGTAGGAAGAAAACCTGAGTGGAGGTTTATTCATTTTGAATGAATTTATTGTACACTTTATTATAGGTATTGGAGATTGATGGAAAACTGTCCCTGACTTCAAGAAGTTTCTCAGGAAAGATAAACAATGTCTGTGCAATGAGGCAGATACTATGATAGAAATGTGCTTAGGTTGCTATGAAAGGAAGCGCTTAGGTGATTTCTAACCATGTCTAAGGGTAAGGGGAATGAGATCAAAGAAAACATCTCAGAAGACATGAAGTCTGAGCTATGTCTTGAAAGATAAGTAAAGCTTGACCTAACCAAGGATAATGAATCAGAAGGAACAGCATTTTCAAAAGCTGAAGAGGATGAACTCTTATGTGCTTTCCATGCACACGCATATGCACACAACTGTGTGTCGGAAGGGATTGGAGAGGAGGGCAAAGGAAATAAGATGAAGGTCAGCCTAATATATAATAATACTTAAAAGCTTGTAGTTCACTTAACAAGACAGAGAGGAGTTCCTGAGGGTTCTTAAATAAGAAAAGGACACAACTAGACTTGCCAAGAGAGCTCACTCTGGTGATACCATGAATGGTAACTTGAAATTAACCATCTGCAGGCAGACAGTTCACATTTAGAGGCTGTTCTAATAACCCACTAGAGAACAGATAAGGCCCTAACCTGCAAATCATGGGAATGAAGAAGACAGAACCTGCTAAAAAGAAATAGTAACACACTGTGCAGCATTGAAGGAGGAAGGGGAAGAGGATGGAGAGTATTCTATGCGGAAGGAACAGCCTTCAAAAAAACATAGAGACCAAAAAGGCACTTTGTAGAGAGATCAGCAATGCATTCATTATAGCTAGGCACTACAGAAAAAGGGAGGCTGTGAGGCTTGAAAAATACATTGGGGGCTGATGGTAAAGAGCTTCATGTGCCATTCCCAGGATTTTGGAACTGATCCTACTAAATAACTAAGATATTGTTTTTAAGTATTGAGTAATATAGTTGGAACTGTGATTTAGAAAGATAACAATTAACATTGGGAGCCATCATTCTTCTAAACACTTTCAAGATAGTAATACATTTAATCCTCATAGTGAATCTGTTAGATGGCTACTGTCATCTCCATTCTGTAGACAGGGAAACTGCAATTAAAAAATAATTAAGAACTTACACGTGGTCCCACTGTGGGAATACTTAGAAAACAATAGAGCCAGGATTCAAACCCAGGCAGTCTGACTCCAGGATGCTCACCCTTACATGCCTCTCTCATGGTTGGTGTTTCTCAACCATGGATGCACATTAGAACCACATGTAGCATTTCCAAAGATACAGTTGCCTGAATTGACTGAATCAGAATGTCCAAAGAATGATGTGTGATGCTGTGTTTTGCAAAAGCTCCGCAGGTAATTCTGTTGCGCTTCGCTCATAGTTGAGTACTGCTGGGATCCTGGTAAGGAATTATAGTAGTAGCTAGGAAGGAGGTGATGAGGGCCCAAACTCAAGCAGTCTGTAGGGAGGAAGAAGAAGAGGAAAATTCCTACTTCATGGAATTGGCAATATTCACGAAGCAGGAATGCAGTGTTTTCCTACTGAGTATGAACCTTGCCTAGGAAGAGGGCTAAGGACCCTACCTTCCGTCTTGGATTATCCATTCTCAGCTAGATCTGTTGACAAGATATGGTCATTGAGATTGGGGGAAAGGGGATTTAATCATCTGAAGAAGTATTATGTGTAGATGATGATGATCGAACTCAGAACTGTTATCCTCGTATATAATTTCATGCTTATATTATTGTTTGTCTTTAATTCTCTACCCCAGGTTCCTTGGGAGAAATTCCTCAAGGTGTCCAGGCTGAGACTAGGGGATAACGACAGCGTGGTCTCTAGATGGTGTGAGACCACTACAGAGCCAGGAAATGGCTACAGCCTTGGAACCAGAGGACCAGGATCTTTGGGAAGAAGAGGGAATTCTGATGGTGAAACTGGAAGATGATTTCACCTGTAGGCCAGAGTCTGTCTTGCAGAGGGATGACCCTGTGCTGGAGACCTCCCACCAGAACTTCCGATGCTTCCGCTACCAGGAAGCAGCAAGCCCTCGAGAAGCTCTCATCAGGCTCCGAGAACTGTGTCACCAGTGGCTAAGGCCAGAGAGGCGGACAAAGGAGCAGATCCTAGACCTGCTTGTGCTGGAACAATTCCTTACCGTCTTGCCTGGAGAACTGCAGAGCTGGGTGCGGGGCCAACGGCCAGAAAGTGGCGAGGAGGCAGTGACGCTGGTGGAGGGTTTGCAGAAACAACCCAGGAGACCAAGGCGGTGGGTGAGGAGGGGGAGTCCTGATCTGTGTGATGTGGAGGGGGACAATTTGCTGGAAGACTGGATTTGAGGGGAGGGTTTACAGGAACCAGGATCTTCATGAATTATTCTTTAAAATAATAATCTCTGCCCTTGGGTTGCCCCATGGGTCAGGGTGTATGTGTGTGTGTGTGTATGTGTATGTGTGTATGTGTATGTGTGTGTATGACTTTCTGGTTTTTGGAACACCTGCCTAGGACCATCTGAGGGGCCTCAGTGCCCCTCAAGGGTCATGGCTTTGGTGTGTGTGTGTGTGTGTGTGTGTGTGTGTATGAGTATGACTTTCTGGTTTTGGGAACACCTGCCTAGGACCATCTGAGGGGCCTCAGTGCCCCTCAAGGGTCATGGCTTTGGTTTCCTTTCTTTGGATGTTGAACTTTGGGCTCCCAGAGAGGAGAATTTTGTGACTTCCTCAGAGGTTCTCATAGACCCTCAGTCACAGATCCTCCCTCCAGGGTGGTAAGCTAGGGAAGCAGGCAGCAAGGAGAGCTGCAGCCAGGATAGGTAGAAGTGAGGAGGATGGGTGCCTCAGAGCTCTGGGTGATGGCGGCCAGGGTCAGGGGAAGCAAGGAAGCCATGCAATTCCTGCGTGTCCCCTGCATTGTCTTGGTAAGGATAGCCTTCAGCTCCTCTTTGCATGCCCAGTGAAATTGGAGTTTCCTCATCTGGGCCCCTCTGGGAGTTTTTCTCTAGGCAGCTTCTCCTAAAATAAGCCCTGATGACAACCAAAAACTTCCTCCTGACTCCATGGTGACTGGAGGTTGGAATTATTCCCAGGTGACTGTCCATGTTCACGGCCAGGAAGTCCTGTCAGAGGAGACAGTGCATCTAGGAACAGAGCCCGAATCACCTAGTGAGCTGCAGGATCCTGCGCAGACCTCGCTCCTTGAGCAGTCCCATGAGGAAACCACACAGAGCCCTGATCTGGGGGCACCAGCAGAGCAGAGCCCACACCAGGAAGAGGAGTTCCAGCCCCTGCAGGAGAGCGGTGGGAAGCCTCAGCAGAAAGGGGGGATTGTGGCAGAGTATGGGTGGGGAGGGGGGTGTTTGTCCTATACCAAGGAGGCTGGGTAGACTGTGAAGGGATGAGGTCACAGAATCCAGGACATCGAGGAGGCAGGACCTGCTAGCAACTCCAATATACAGGACCACGCTTAGATCATGATATTCTTGCCTGTTCTAGCATTCCAATAGTCTTCTAGGTGGTGAGAATGGGATGACTTAAGCTGCCCTTAGGGCAGATCCTTGAGTCCCATAATAGGGAGGTTAGGGCCACCTTCCTACCAGAGATGATGGGGGATGCTAAGCTTTTTGCCAGGTATTGGGCTGTATAGCATATTGCTGATCTTTGTCTTCTTTTCTTCTTAGAGCTCCCAGTGCTCCAGGACCCAGACCTTCCTGCAGAGAGGAGCTCTGGAGACTCAGAGATGGTTGCCCTTCTTACTGCTCTATCACAGGTGCACCCTAGTTCCCTCTGTACCACAGAGAATTTGTTTGATGAACTACTGGACACTAGTCATATGTTAAACAGGTCAAACAGGATGCCACAGTTCTGCAGGTGCCTAGAAGGGGAGGAAATAATGAGATAAATTAAAATAGTCTCTGTGAGATCTGCAGGCTCCAGCGGCTCTTTATTTACCATTAGCCAGAAGAACTAATGAAATGGGATTCTTTTTAATAATCCAGTACAGCTTTGAAGTTGTTAAATGAGGGGTGGGGGTTTTTGTGTGTTTGCTTTTGGTTTGTTTGTTTTGAGACAGGGTCTTCCTGTCATCCTAGCTACAGTGCAGTGGCAGAGTCATAGCCCATTGTAACCTCAAACTCCTGACCTCTGGTGATCGACCAGCCTCCTGAGTAGCTAGAGCTATGGGAGTGCACTACCACAACTGCATAATTTTTTCATTTTTTATAGAGGCAGGGTCTGTTCTGTTGCCCAAGCTGGTCTTAAACTCCTGGCCTCAAACGGTCCTTCCACCTCAGCCTCCAAAAGGGCCTGGAATTACAGGTGTTAGCTACCACACCAGCCCTGTTTTGGGGTTTTTTTAAGGAATAAACTTAATAGTCATTTGTAAAAATGACTGACTGTACTGTTACGGCATATATGAAGTATTTGCCATGTTCAAAGCCCCGAAAACTAAGCTATATGATTAGAGGGAAAAAGAATAAAATACTGTGGTTCTAAACTGTAGTCTAGCTGAGGAAAACACCCAGTTTTTGCTGTACACTATGTAAATTATAAAGATATTTAGAGTTAGGGAGTTTTCAGGAAAGATAAATTTTTGCAGAAATATCGATAGCATTAAAGCATCAACTAGGGAGTTGAATGGTGACTTTTAAGACCTTGAATTTCTTTCTTTTATATTTTAAGGATGTGGGGTACCATTCAGGATTAGATATACAAATGATGATTATACAGGTAAAGTTTGGGCCTCACTTTGGTCTCCACTTTGCCTGGTTTAAGATCAAGTACCCTTGTTGATGAAGTATACTTCCCCCAACCCCCAGCAGTTTCCCACTACTGCCAATCTCTTTCTTACAGTATTATGATAATTGTCCAGGGATAGCTTATGAGTGAGAACATGTGGTTCTCAGTTCTTTGTTTCTGTGATAGATGACTCAGTATTATAGACTCTTAAGTCCATCCAAGTTGCTGTGAAGTTCATAATTTTGTCCTTCTTTATGGCTACATAATATTCCATCATGTATATATACCACATTTTTTTAAAATCCAGTCTACTTTCTATGGGCAGCATGATTGGTTCCATGTTTTTGCTATTGTGAATAATGCTGCAATAAACATGGATGTGCAGGTATCTTTTTCATAGAGTGATTTGAGTTCCTCTGAGTATATTCCCAGAAGGCAGATCGCTGGGTCATATAGAAGGTCAACTTATAGATCTTTTAGGAACAGCCACACTGTTTTCCACAGAGGTTGTACTAGTTTATGCTCCCACCAACAGTGTAGAAGTGTTCCCTTTTCCCTGCATCCTCTCCATCGTCTGTTGTTTTTTGTTATTGATGATGGCCATTCTAAGTGGAGTTAGGTGGTATCTTAGTGTAGTTTTAATTTGCACTTCTTTGATGACTAGTGAGACTGAGCATTTTTTCATGTATCTGTTGGCTGCTCATATGTCTTCTTTTGAGAAGTATCTAATCATATGTTTTGCCACTTTTGTTGTTGTTGTTGTTGTTGTTGTTTTGAGTTGGAGTCTCATTCCGTCACTCAAACTGGAGTGCAGTGGCCGCTCCCGGCCACCACAGCCTCGACCTGCTGGGCTCTGGCGATCCTTCCCCCTCAGCCTTCCAAGTAGAAGTACAGGCACGCGCTACCATGCCCGCTTATTTTTTTTTATTTATTGTAGAGATGAGGTCTCGCCAAGTTGCCCAGGCGGGTCTCGAACCCACGAACTCAGGCAGTTCACTCACCTCAGCCTCCCAAAGTGCTGGGATTACAGGCTGAGCCACTGAACCCAGCTTGTTTTGCCACTTTGTAATAGGGCTGTTTGTTTTTTTCTTTTTAGCACATTTGAGTTCCTTGTAGATCTTAGATGTTAGATCTTTGTTAGATATACAGTTGGCAAATATTTTTTCCCAATCTATGGGCTGGCTCCCTCTCTATTTATGGTTTCTTTTGCTTTGCAGAAGCTTTTCAGTTTGATGAGGTGCCACTTATCTATCTTATCTCTTATGGCCAGGGATTTGGGGTTTTGATCAGGAATTGGTTGCCAATTCCAACTTCCATAAGGTTGTCTCCTGCATTTTCTAAGGTTCTTATAGGTTGAGGTTTTACGTTTAGATCATTGATCCACTTAGAGTTGATTTTTGTTTATGGTGATAGGTAGGGGTCTTGTTTTAATCTTCTGCTTGTGGTCAACCAGTTTTCCCAGTACCATTTACTGAATAAGTTCTCCTCTCCCCAGCAGTTGTTAGTGGAGGCTTCATCAAAGTTGGTTGAGAAATTGAGATTTTGCTTCTAGAATCTCTATCTTGTGCCATTGGTCTATATACTTGTTCGTGTACAAATACCAGGCTGTTTTGATTATTGTAGCCTTATAATAAAGCTTAAAGTCTGGAAGGGTGATACCTCCCACCTTGTTTTGTTTTTTTGTTGTTTTTTTTTTTGCTGAGAATTATTTTGACTATTTGTGGTCATTTATGTTTCCATATGAATTTCTGTATTGTCATTTCTAGGTCTGAGGAGAATAATGTTGGTAGTTTTTTGCTTTGTTTTTGGTTTGTTTTTTTTTTGAGTCAGAGTTTCACTTTGTCACCCAGGCTGGAGTGCAGTGGCACACTCATGGCCACTGTAGCCTCAGCTTTCTGGGCTCAGGTGATCCTTCTGCCTCAGCTTCCCAAGTAGTTGGAACTACAGGCGTGCATTTCCACACCCAGCTAGTTTTTTTATTTATTGCAGAGACAAAGTCTTGCCAAATTGCCCAGACTGGTCTCAAACCCATGGGATCAAGCAATCCTCTCACATCAACCTCCCAAAGTGCTGGGATTACAGGCGTGAGCCACCACACCTGGCTGATGTTGGTAGTTTAATGGGTATTGCATTAAATCTGTAGATTGGCTTGAAGTTTAAACAGTACCTTAAAGAAGAACATGAGGTGATCCTGAGGGAAAGCAGGGGAGTTGGAGGGGGCGGGACTACCGCAAAAGTCAGGAAACAGTGAGAGGAGACATATAGCTTCCTTGATTTCAAATAACCCATTCAAGTTTCTTTTGTCTTCTGAATGGATTCTGCTATGTATAACCTCCATCTGGAAGCAATATATGAGGCTACCTGAAGCATCACGTTTTGATTAAATCTTTGTGTTGTTTCAGGGACTGGTAACTTTCAAGGATGTGGCTGTATGCTTCTCCCAGGACCAGTGGAGTGATCTGGATCCGACACAGAAAGAGTTCTATGGAGAGTATGTCTTGGAAGAAGACTGTGGAATCGTGGTCTCTCTGTGTAAGGAATTTCAAGTGTTCTCGAGTGTTCTGAGCAGAGATCTTTTTGCTGCTGGAAATTTGAAGAGTTTTTTGTTATTTTTTTGTTTTTGTTTTTTGAGCTGGAGTCTCTCACTTTGTCACCCAGGCTGGAGTGCAGTGGCACACTCACAGCCACCCCAGTGTCAACCTGCTAGGCTCTGGCTATCCTTCCGCCTCAGCCTTCCAAGTAGTCAGAACTACAGGCGCGTGCGACCACACCCAGCTAATTTTTTTTTATTTATTGTAGAGACAAGGTCTCGCCAAGTTGCCCAGGTTGGTCTTGAACCCACTTACTCAGGTAATTCACACACCTCGGCCTCCCAAAGTGCTGAGATTATAGGCTGAGCTACCGAGCCCAGCCATTTGGAGAGTTTTAGTTAATATGCTGGACTTCTTTTATTCCTACCCTACCAACTAATTTGAGAAATTACCTGAAGAAGGTAGTATCCTTCCAAATTAAAGAAAAGAGAAAATAAGAAAATAAATTTATAATACTATATGTTTTGTATAGAAATATTTGAGGTAAGCATACGAGTTTTAAAACAAACAAGCAATAAGAGTTAGAGATATCTACTTCTTTGAATATGGGAAAAGAGGATAAGGTCTACAGCAGTATAATTACCGTGCTTCAGGGAAAAGCAACAGAAAGGCAAGAGATATGCAGTACTTGGTAAAGGTGCTCATGCCTAAAAGAGACCAAAGATCAACTAAGCTGTCTGTGTATTTGCTCTGCAACTGACCAAGCAGAAAAGATCTTGATGTCCTGTTTTCCCTCTCTTGAGCAGCATTTCCAATCCCCAGACCTGATGAGATCTCCCAAGTTAGAGAGGAAGAGCCTTGGGTCCCAGATATCCAAGAGCCTCAAGAAACTCAAGATCCAGAAATCCTGAGTTTTACCTATACAGGTGAGGATTGAGAAAAGGGGTCTTACCCAGCCTGGGCCAGTAGTTCCTCTAGGCAGTGCTTCTTTCTCTCTCTCTCTCTAGAGCCTCCCTGCCCCTTGGTTCTTCTGACATGTCAGCCAGTACTGCAATCTCCCTCTGAAAGGCAAATTCTTCTGTCATTTTCCTCCCGTTAAACTCTTTTTGAGTCAGAGTCTCACTCAGTTACCCAGGCTGAAGTGCAGCGGCACACCCATGGCTATTGCAGCTTCAACCTGCTGGGCTCAGGTGATCCTTCCTCAGCCTTCCAAGAAACCGGGGCTATAGGGAGACACTATCATGCCCAGCTAATTTTTTTATTTATTGTAGAGATAGGGTCTCACCAAGTTGCTGGTCTCAAAATTCTAGGCTCAGGCAATTCTCTTGTCTCTGCCTTTCAAAGTGTTGGAATTACAAGCATGAGCCATAGCACCTGGCCATTTTCCTCTTTTATCCCTCCCATTATTGTTTGAAGGCTATGTAACGCAAAATGGTGAAAGAAAAATAAAACAAACTATGCAGTTCACTTAAACCCTTCATCCTCAGTCTGTACATTTGTAAAATGAGTATTATGATATTTGTTCAAACTAAGGCTTGTTGATAGCTTAACATATGAGAAAGTGCCTGGCTAAGGACAAGCATTCCATTGACTGGTTATTTCCTTCTTTCCCAACCTCTATGGTTATGAAATACAAGCTTTTCTCTAGAAGGTCCTGCCCTCCCAAAACCCTTTTTAAAATTTCCCTGTTGTGTAGAAGAAATTTTTGCCACTATTAATTTCCCTTCCTCTTACCTTTTCTACAGGAGACAGGAGTGAAGATGAAGAAGAATGTCTTGAGCAGGAAGATCTAAGTTTAGAGGATATGCATAGGTCTGTTCTGGGTGATCCAGAAATTCACCGAACTCCAGACTGGGAAATAGTCTTTGAGGATAATCCAGTTAGACTTAATGAAAGAACATTTGGTACAAATATTTCTCAAGAGAATAGTTGTGTGAACCTTCAGGAAACCATGCCTGTCCTCCCCCTGTTAGGGCGACATCATGACTGTTCTGTGTGTGGAAAAAGCTTCACTTGTAATTCCCACCTTGTCAGACACCTGAGAACTCACACAGGAGAGAAACCTTATAAATGTATGGAATGTGGAAAAAGTTACACACGGAGCTCACATCTTGCCAGGCACCAAAAAGTTCATAAGATAAACACTTACAAATATCCCCTAAACCGGAAGAACTTAGGTGAGACCTCCCCTCTAATCCAAACTCAGAGAACTCCATCTGTTGAGAAACCCTATAGATGTGACGATTGTGGAAAACACTTCCGCTGGACTTCAGATCTTGTCAGGCATCAAAGGACACATACAGGAGAAAAACCTTTCTTCTGTACTATTTGTGGCAAAAGCTTCAGCCAGAAATCTGTACTAACAACACACCAAAGAATCCATCTTGGAAACACACCCTACTTGTGTGGAGAATGTGGAGAGGACTTCAGTGACCACAGGCGGTACCTGGCACACCGGAAGACGCATGCAGCTGAGGAACTCTATCTCTGCAACGAGTGTGGGCGGTGCTTCAACCAGAGCGCAGCATTTGCCAAGCACCTGAGAGGACATGCCTCTGTGAGGCCCTGCCGATGCAACGAATGTGGGAAAAGCTTCAGTCGGAGGGACCACCTTGTCAGGCATCAGAGAACACACACTGGTGAGAAACCGTTCACATGCCCTACCTGTGGAAAAAGCTTCAGCAGAGGATATCATTTAATCAGACATCAGCGGACCCACTCAGAAAAGACCTCCATGTGAGGAGGTCTGCTGTTAGATCTCACCTGAGGGAGGTGAGAGAGAAGAAAATCCCTCTGGTCAGCCTGGGAAGACATTTTCTAGGGAGTTTTCTGACCTGCCCAGAGCTTACATCACCTCTTCCCACAACTACATAAAAACCCAGACAGAACTTCTCAGCCTTCTACGCCTTGAGGAGATGTTTTGTCCAAAGTACAACCTGAATGCAGCTTCTCCTTCACTGGAGTGCTCCTGCCTCTACCTCGTGGGTGTGAAGTAGGAGAATTAGAAGACTTAAGAGGTTATGGTTACAGTATTGTCCAAAAATGGGCTGTTACATATCCTAAAGACTGCTTAACAGCTTCAAGTTGAACGTGGCCAAGGACAGCCCCTTAGGTTTGGTAAGGGACCAGCCTGAAGGATTCTGTCCTTACTGGGCTCAAATCTTAAAGCACACAGCTCTGAACTCAAGACAGGAGGTTTGCATCTTAATGGCTTTGCCACACATTCACAGGATAACTGTGAAAATCCCTCGCTGTCTGATTCACTTCTTACCATGCACTTTCCTTTGATGCTGGGGGAAATGGGAGAAGTGGGCAAAAACCTCAAGGCTGCTTCATATGGACCTTGTCAAGCTGCTCCCTCCCCCAATGTCAAAATGATATCAGGTGCCAAACACTGCTAGAAAGAAGGGCCTAGTCAGAAGCCTCTTTTCTTGTGGGTTTTGTTTTTGTTTCCTTTTTAAAATACTCATGTCTTTACCCTTCTCACTGTTCAACCAGTCTCTTGGTTTTGCCCCTGGCACTTCTACTACAAATGAGATGTAGTTTTTGGGTGTTGAAGGATTCAGTAAAGCATAATTAAGTCAATGAAGTCATTTACATTCCCACATATGCACAGGCTCGCCCCTTCTCCACACCCCCTTCATATGGGTGGTATGAATGGGGATTTTGGAACAGTGTCAGCTTACAAAGACACTATAACAATTCATCATGATTACCTGGGCCATTTCATTTACATGAAGAAAACTGGAGAAGTTCTAAGATCAAACTATGGAAAAGTAAGAAAAAGTTGGCAAGACCATTCTCCTGACATCTATTCACCAACCTTCCCTGCCTCAGTTTTCTAACATCATGGAAAATTATGAACCCCAGCACCTGGGACCCTGAGGAATTTACCAGGAGTAAATGTCTTTCATGTATTTGTGTTGTTTGCTTTTTCTTATGTGATTTTATTTTCATGTAACTAAGAACTAAATAATATGATGGCCCAAGGATCTCAGTTGCCTGTTAAAGTTTCCATGCAGATGAGGCTGAATAATTATGAACCTCACCTGCTCCGACTGTGGAAGTGGCAAGGACTGGGGAGACATTTTTCATAAATGTAGCACAGGGTATGGGGTTAAAGCATGAGAGGGAGACCGTCTTCTGTGCCTGGTTTCTCCTGCTCTATTTCACAATCCATTATGGGCCAGTGTACACCAGAGGAATATGGAGGGAGTTAAGACTCCAAGCCTAATGGCCCAACAAGGAAATTCTTATTTTGGTCAGTGATATTCTGATGGACTGGTTTGGTTTTAATACCAGTCAACCATTTTCCTTCTGGAAACATACACATATGAAATAAATAAAGGTAACATTTGCAGCCAAGTTCCCTGGTTTCTGGGACTTTCCATCTTACCCATTCCATTTCCAGGACTTCAAGGTCCTGATGCTTCGGAGGTCATTTTGTATAAATGATCTGGGAGTACAGAGCATTCTTCCATGTGAGTAGGGAAATTAGTTACAATTTAGCAGAGCCACAAGTGGAATATATGGACACTGAGGTACGCTCCAAGCCCATGACACTATCCTAATATGCAGGTATTTCTCAACCATAATGGCAAAGGTCTAAGCACAATTTGGGCTGGATAAAATAGCACAACCTCAAAAAAATGATTTCTTCTAGCTCATACTTAAACCATTTACAGAAGTTGATAAAATACTGGAGATGACAACAAATTGACCATTTATTCTCTGATTCATTTGCATTACTATGGTAAGTGAATTCTATATAAGGGTGATGTTTGAGAGACTGGTCCAGTTTGTTAGAGCATCAAATATTACCATTCTTGATACCCTTGCAAAGTTTCATATGCTGACTCTAAATCTCTGGTCCCTTTTGTAAATTACTGAATTTTCTGAGGTTCCTGGAGAGACATGCCGTCTTTCACATCTGAAGAGAAACAGAACCACAGTTTGAAGCTGCAGGGGCAGCAGGAAAGCACCGCAGCTGGTCGTGGGAGGGAGGCTGGAACATTCAGAGATGTCCCCTCTCAAACCTGTAAACAGTAGAATCCTAGTATTCTTGAATATCATACTAAATAAAAGTTAATGAGAAAAAAGTTTTTTTAGATAGCTGGAGGAAGCTATAAGGTAATCTAAACAGAGAGTTGTTTGAAATGGTGTGCTGATATTATTGTCCAAAACTGGGTTGTTACATATCCTAAAGACTGCTTAACAACTTCAAATTGGGACCAGCCTGAAATGAAATTTAAAAGGACAATATAAGGGTATTTGACCAAGTAATTTGCAAATAACCAGGGAATATTTAAACCTCTTTACCATAAAGGCCTAAGATAAATGCCAAGCGATAAGGGCAAAATAGTTATTATCAGGGCCTTAGACCTCATTCCAGAGCAGAATCTAGTATCCTCAGATGAACTCCATGGAGAATTTCAAAAATTAGATTAACATCAAAGTACTACAGCCAAAACCCACTCAAACTTGTTGCCTCCTCCAAAACTCAAGTAATGGATGGAATAGAAGAGACATCGTTTCTACTCAGTAGTAGTATGTAGGTGAGAAAATGCTTAGTGAATCCTACCACATTGATAGAGACCATTTGTTCCAATCCTCTCCAGTTAAGACAGCAGCCTCCACATCACCCTGCTACATGAGAAAAATGAGATAATATTTATTAACTAGATTTTGTAAAGCATTTTTATGCACAAGGCTGGAAGGATGGCAATTCAAGCGAGAAAGTAAATTGTGCTCCGTTGCTGATTTTGTAGAACTAAAGCTGAACTGAGAAATGGTAACTGAAAGAATGCTATGCAGATTAATTGGGTGTTCTTCCATACCAGTATTTTTTAAATTGTTTTAGTTGGGCACAGTGACCCACAGCTATAATCCCAGCACTTTGAGAGGGTGAGGTAAGAGGATTGCCTGAGCCCAGGAGTCCAAGACCAGCCTGGGCAACTTGGCAAGACCTCGTCTCTACAATAAATCAAAACATTAGCTGGGTTTGGTGGCGCATGCCTATAGTCCCAACTACTCAGGAGGCTGAGGCAGAAGAATTGCCTGAACCCAGCAGGTTGAGGCTGTGGTGGCCTTGGGCATGCCACTGCACTCCAACCTGGGCAACAGAGCAAGACTCCAACTCAAAAAAAAAAAAAAGGTGTGTTTTATTATCTCCCTTAGCTGGCCTAAATATTTCTTCCAGCAACAGTAACCTTGAGAAAAATATACCTACTTTCCATCTTACATTTCTAGTGATATTGGCTGACTGACCCACTAATCTAGTTTATGGGAGAGGGAAAGACCAATAGAAGACTAAAAGAGTCACAAAATGGGTACCCTGTCTATACACTCGCTAACTTTTATTGGGGTAAAGTAAGAATGTAATGTCCTTCATTTGAGCACATCTCCTTGAAAGTGGAATAACTTGATTAATCCTTGGGGAAGTCCCGAGAAGCAGGCAAGGAAAAGCCCTGAGTTCTCTTTAGACACCATCTTTACCATTTCTCTATCCAGCTTTATCACTATTTTCATTATTATTTGAATCTGGGTCTTACTCTGTGACCCAGGCTGGAGTGCAGTGACACAATCATGGCTCACTGCAATCTTGACCTCCTGGGCTCAGGCGATGCTTCCACCTCAGTCTGCAGAGTATCTGGGACTACAAGCATGTGCCACCACACCCAGCTAATTTTTTATTTTTATTTTTGTAGAGACAAGGTTTCGCTATGTTGCCTAAGTTGGTCTCGAACTACTGGGCTCAAGGAATCTTCCCACCTTGGCCTCCCAAAGTGCTAGGATTTCAGGCATGAGCAACTGAGCCCAACCTCGGTACAGTTTTAGTTCTACAAAACCATCATGGGGCAGTTAACTTTCTCATTTGGATTGACATTCTTCCAGGAGCCCAGTGAATAAATATGCGTTTTAAAAAATCTGTTTGTTGACCATTATTAAAAAATCAAAAAACAATAAATGCACTTATACACTGTTGGTGGAACTGAAAATTAATACAACCTCTATGGAAATCAGTATGGAGATTTCCCAAAGAACTGAAAGTAGGTCTACCACTTGGTCCAGCAATCCTATTACTAGATATCTACCCAAAGGAATAGAAGTCATTACTTTAAAAAAAAAAAGACAACTGCTCTTGAATGTTTATCACAACACAGTTTACAAAGATGTGGCATCAACCTAAATGCCCATCAACTGATCAGTGGATAATGAAAATGTGATAAATGACTGGGCTTGATGGCTCAGCCTGTAATCCCAGCACTTTGAGAGGCGAAGGCAAGAGGACTGCCTGAGCCCGCGGGTTCAAGACCAGTCTGGGCAACTTGGCAAGACCTCGACTCTACAATAAATCAAAAAATTAGTTGGGCATGGTAGCACACGCCTGTAGTTCCGGCGACTTGGAAGACTGAGGCGGAAGAATCACCTGAGCCCAGCAGATCAACGCTGGGGTGGCCATGAGTATGCCACTATACTCCAGCCCGGTGCCAGAGTGAGACTCCAACTAAAAAAAAGAAAGGAAGAAGAAAATGAGATAAAACACACACACACACACACAAACACACACCGTGGAATATTATCCAGCAATTAAAAAATGAAATTATGTCACTTGCAGCAACTCGGATAGAATTGAACATCATCCTAAGTGATCTAACTACGGAACAGAAAACCAAACACCGTATGTTTTCACTTCTAAATGGGAGCTCAACTGAGGGATGTGCAAAGGCATAGAGAATGCTCTAATGGACATTGGAGATTCAGCAGGGGAGGAGTGAAGGGGTGGAGGGACAAAATATCACCAGTGTGCACAGGTGAGGGTGGTGGATACCCTTAAAGCCTTGGCTTCCTTGCCCCTATACAATGCATCCATGTAATCAAAAATTAATTGTATCCCCTAAAGCTATTGGGGGAAGAAAATGTAGGCTAACAGGAAAAAGAAATCTATTTATTAAATATTATCTCCCCAGCCGGTCTCAGTGGCTCAGCCTGTAATCCTGCGCTTTGGGAGGCTGAGGTGAGTGGATTGCCTGAGCCCGCGGGTTCGAGACCCTCCTGGGCAACTTGGCGAGACCTCATCTCTACAACTAATCAAAGAATTAGCCGGGGTGGTAGCACGCGCCTATAGTTCCAGCTACTCAGAAGACTGAGGTAGAAGGATCGCCAGAGCCCAGCAGGCCGAGGCTGCGGTGGCCAGGAGCGGCCACTGCACTCCAGTCTGGGTAACAAAGTGAGACTCCAACTCAAATAAATAAATAAATAAATAAACAAATAAATAAATAAATATTATCTTATTTCTCTCATGTAACTGGAGAAGTCTCTAACATACCTGTTGCTGAACACCAGCAACAAGTCTACAGAGAAGCAGTTCCAAAGCAAAAGAGCCCTGGGCATTTGGAATAATCCACCCAAACAATGAGGCATTAACCCTGAGCCAACAAACATCAGCACAAAAGCAGAAAACTGGGTCAGCAAAGAAAGGGAGATCTCTGCTTTTTTTCTTGCCTTCAACAAGAAATTCTCAAAGGCCTTCTACTGAAATACAACTTCATTTTTTAAAGCATTACTAAAATAGAGAGTAGAAATAGTAAGTTGGGATAGGGTGATCTGAATTTAAGTGTTTAGCATTCATGAATTGTTCAGAACAAAAGCTATAAGGTATTGATTAATTCGTTATCAAGGACACATTGCAAGAAAGGAAACAGTAAATAATTTTATAAATAGTGAAAGGAAAATTGAAAATGAGAATTTAAAACAAGAAAAATGGAATGGTAACTTAGATTGTTTAAAGAAAAACAAGAAAAAAGCATAAACGAGGTTAAAAAATAAAACTGCAAAGATGACAGGTCAAATATATGAATAAGATAGACTAAATAGTAACTACTGTTTAAGACAGAGAATGCTTAAGTGGGCAAAAAAGTAAATTGCAGCAATAGGTCATATAGAAGAGATACACAAAAATGTAAGCATAATGAAAAATTAAAAGGACCAAAAGAATATACCAGGAAAATATGGAAAAGCGGAGCTTATTTTTATTTTTAATTTTTGAGATTAGGACTGGCTCTATCACCCAGACTGGAGTGCAGTGGCATGATCGTGGCCTTACGGCAACCTTGAACGCCCCAGCTCAGGTGATCTTTCTGCCTCACGCTACCTAGTAGCTGGGACAATAGGTATGTACCACCAACTTGGCCAGTTTTTTAAATTTTTTTATTTCTTGTAGAGCTGAGGTCTCGCTGTGTTGCCCAGGCTGCTCTCAAACTCCTGAGTTCAAGCATTCCTCTTGCCTCAGCCTCACAAAGTGCTGGGATTACTGGTATGAGCCACCAGGCCTGGCCAAAAAAAAAAGGAGCTATATTAATATT